AATACACAAAAGGTACACAGACTGGGAAGGAAGAAATCAAACTTTGTTCACAGATAACATAATAATCTATGTAGAAAATCCTAAAGAATTGGCAAAAACATTGCTGAAACTAATAAGCAATTATAACAAGGTTGCAGGATACAAAGTTAATAAACAAAAGTTAATCACTTTCCTATATACCAGTAGTGAATTTGAAACTAAGAACACAATACCATTTACATTAGTACCCACTAACCAAAAAAGAAATACGAGGCATAAATCAAATAAAACACATTATAAGATCTGTATGAGGAAAACTATACAACTCTGATGAACAAAATGGAAGAATTAAATAAATGGAGACATATTCCATGTTTATGGATAGGAAGACTCAATATCATCAAGAGGTCAGGTATTTCCAACCTGATCTCTAGATTTAACACTATTCCAATCAAAATCCCAACAAGTTATTTAGTGGATGTTGACAGACTGATTCTAAAGAGTATACTGAGGGGCAAAAACCTCAGACAGCCAACACAATATTGAAGGACAAAATATAGTTGAAGGACTGGCAATACCTAACTGCAAGACTTACTATAAAGCTACAGTAATCAAGATGTGTGGTACTGGTGAAGGAATAAACAAATAGATCAATGGAACAGAACAGAGAAACCAGAAATAGACCCACATAAATATAATCAACTGATTTTTGACAAAAAATAAAAATAAAAATAAAAAACAAAGGCAATACAATGGAAGAAAGATCATTTTTCAACAAATAGTGCTGGAACAACTCGATGTCCACAAGCAAAAAAATTAATCTAGACACAGACCTTACACTTCTCATGAAAATTAACTCAAAATGGATCCAAAGACCTGAATGTAAAACACAAAACTCTAAAACGCCTAGAAGATAACATAGGAGAAAAACAAATAACCTTGGGTATGGTGGTATCTTTCTACCAAAGGCATGATCTATGAAAAAAATAACTGATAAGTTGACCTCATTATAATTAAAAACTTCTGCTCTGCAAATGACACTTTCTAGAGAAATGAGAAGATAACCACAGTCTGGGAGAAAGTATTTGCAAAATATACATGTGATAAAGGAACTGCTATCTAATGTATACAGAAAGCTCTTAAAACTCAACAATAAGAAAACCTGATTAAGGGGAGCCTGGGTGGCTCAGTCGGTTAATCGTCTGCCTTCAGCTCGGGTCACGATCCTGGGCTCCCTGCTCGGCGGGAAGCCTGCTTCTCCCTCTCCCACTCCCCCTGCTTGTGTTCCCGCTCTCACTGTGTCTCTGTCAAATAATAAATACAATCTTAAAAAAAAAGAAAGAAAAGAAAAAGAAAACCTGATTTAAAAAATGAGCTAAAAATAAAAAGGGGGGGGGACTAAAGATCTCAACAGACACCTCACCAAAGGAAACAAAAACATACAGATGGCAAATGAGCACATGATAAGATGCTCCACATCATGTCATCAGGGAAAGGCAAATTAAAATGAGATACATCTATGAGATACATACATACATCTATGAGATATATACACATCTATGAGAATGGCCAAAATCCAGAACACTGACTGACAAGACCAAATCCTGGTGAGAATGCAGAACTACAGAAACTCCTGGTGGGTCAATGTACATTCATCAGTTGTAACAAATGTACCCTTCTGGTTCTGCATATTGATAGTGACGTAAGCTGAGCATGTGTGATAGCAGAGCATATATGGGAACTCTGTAGTCTTCACTTAATTTTTCTGTGAAACTAAAGAGCTCCAAAAAATAAAATTTATTTTATAAAAAGTATTATATACCATGACCAAGTCGGATATACTCCAGTAATGCAGAAGCGGTTCAACATACAAAATATCAATATAACACACCACATTAATAGAATGAAGGACAAAAACTACACTATCATTTCAACTGTTGCAGAAAAGGGATTTGACAAAATCTATCAACCTTTCAAGATTAAAAAAAAAAAAACACTCAGAAAACTAGGAAAGAAGGAAACTTTCTCACAACGAGGAAGGGCATTTATGAAAAACCCATAGTTAACATATTCAGTGGTGAAAGACAAAGTTCTCCCCCTAAGATCAGGAACAAAATAAGGATGCCTGCTTTCACCAATGCCATTCAACAGTGTGCTGGATATTCTAGTCAGAGTGACTAGACAAGAAAAAAATAGTCAAAGGTATCCAAATTGGAGAGAAAGTAAAAATACCTTTTTTGCAAAAAATATTATCCTATATAATATCCCAGAGAATCCAAAGAAGGCTAGTAAAGCTAATAAGCTCTGCAAAGTTGCAGGTTGCCTGATCAACAAACAAAAATCAGTTGTGTAGTTGTCTTTCTAAATAACGAACAATCCAAAAAGGAAACCGAGAAAGCTATTCCATTTATAACAGTATCTAAGAGAATAAAACAGGTAAGAGTAAATTTAACCAAGAGGTGAAAGACTTGTACACTAAAGACTACAAAACATTACTGAAAGAAATAAAAGATCAAAATAAATGGAAAGATACCCTATGCTCACAGGTTGAAACATCTTACTACCTTAAGTGATCTGCAGATTCAATGCAATCTCTATCAAAATTCCAACATCCTTTTTTTGCAGAAATCTAAAAGCCAATCTTCAAATTCATATGGAACTGCAAAGATCCCAAAAAGCCAAACCAATCTTTAAAAACAACTTGAGAAGACTCACAGTTCTCAATATTAAAACCTACTACAAAAAACTACAGTAATGAAAACCAGCATGTGGATAAACCTAAATAGACCAATTAAATAGTATTAAAGAGTCCAGGAAAAAACCCACACATGTACAGCCCACTGATTTTCGATAAGGATACCAAGGTATTCAATAGGGAAGAACAATCTGTTCAACAAATGGGTGCTGGGATAACTGGATTTCTACATGCAAAAGAATAAAGTTGGATCCTTAACTCACATCATATATAAAAATTTACTCAAAATTGATCAAACCAAAATGTAAAAGCTAAAAGCATAAAATTCCTAAAAGAAAACATAGGGAGAAAGCTTCATGAGACTGGACTTATCAACAGGTACCCTGACAAGCACAAACAACAACAAAGATATATTGGACTTCATAAAATTTTAAAATTTTTGTACACCAAATGACATTATCAAGAAAGTGAAAAGACAACCTACAGAATGGGAGGAAATATTTGCAAATCATATAGCTGATAAGGCTTTAACATCCAAAATATAAAGCACTCCCAACAATTCAACAACAAGAAACAAATAATTAAAAATGCACAAAGGAGGGGTGCCTGGGTGGCTCAGTCGGTTAGGCAGCTGCCTTCGGCTCAGGTCATGATCCCAGAGTCTTGGGATCGAGCCCGTCAGGCTCCTTGCTCAGCAGGGAGCCTGCTTCTCCCTCTCCCTCGGTCACTCCCGCTGCTTGTGCTCGCTCTCTCTCATTCTCTCTCTCTCTCATAAAAAAAATTAAAAATGCACAAAGGAATCTAATAGATATTTCTCCAAAGAAGACCTACAAATGGCCAATAAGCACATGAAAAGATGCTCCACATCACTAATCATTAGGGAAATTTAAATGAAAATTACCCATTAGGATAGCTATTTATCAAAACATAGCAGAAATTACAAGTGCTGGAGACAGTGAGACATAACTGGAACCCCGTGCAGTGAGAATGTAAAACAGCGCAGCCACTGTGGAAAACAGTATGGTGCTTCCTCAAAGTAAACATAAAATTACCATATGACTCAATAATTCCACTCCTAGGTACATACCCAAAAGAACTGAAAACGGGGATTCAGATAGATACTTGCATACCGATGTTTATTGCGGCATTAGTCACAACAGCCAAAAGCTGGAAACAAACCATGTGTCCATCACAGATGAATGTGGTATACACGTAAAATGGAATATTACTTAGCTGTGAAAAGTTAAAGTTCTGATACATGCTACCACATTGATGAACCTTGAAAACATTATGCTAAGTAAAATAAATTAGACTCAAAAAGACAACTACAACATGACCCCACTTACACGGGATACCTAGAATAGGTAAATTCACAGAGAGGAGATTTACAACATCTATCGGAGTTTCTTCTCTGGCGATGGAGGGCTCCTCTGAGGAAAAGGTATTATCAAGGTGTGTGGGTAAGGTGGAAAGGGAGTCTTTTTCTACTTGAAAAATTTCTGGAAGATAGTGGTAATGGCTGCAAACAGTGTGAATGTAATTAATGCCACTACATTATACCCTTAAAAATGGTTAAAAAGGCAAACTTCATGTTATTTATATACACACACATATATTTTTTTACCATGATAAAAAATATTGCAAAAAAAAAAAACAAACCACTTTTTTCTAAAGACAAGGTAAAATTGCCATGACAGAAACAAAAGATGAAGCTGGGCCAATAAGGGAGGGCGTATTTCTCCTACACAGGGATTCAAAACAAACCTAAGAAAGAAAATAGGAGAAAAGCAGTGTCTACAGTCCCCATGCCCCACTTCCAACTGTACCCAGAGCACAGCCACGGATGAGTCCCCATGACCTGGCTGGCCGTAGCTCAGCTCTGGCCATCTCCCCAGAAGACTGTGGGGCACAGACACGGGAAGATGCTGTTAACTCATCACCCACCAACTGTGTCCCGGACACCCCTGAAGACACTGGAGATAAAATGATGGCTAGGACACCCTGCCCTCATGGAGCTTATAGTTTAGTGGGTGAGACATAAATCTAACCAGCGGGAGACAGAAAGCAGACCTCTGAAAAAGTAAAGACCTTCTGAAATCGAAAAAAGAAAGTTATCTATAAACCTTAAAAAAATTAAAGTATGAAAGAAGCATTTTGAGATATGAACATTAAAAGAGAAAAGAGCTTTTATAACAACATCTATCGGAGTTTCTTCTCTGGCCATGGAGGGCTCCTCTGAGGAAAAGGCAGAAGGCAGACACTGTGAGCCCAGGCAGCCCCGGCCCCCAGCTGCCACCCGAGGTTGGTGAGAGCCTCTCCCGCCTACCTGAGGCCACCTTAGGTTGGTTGCCAACAATTCCAACGGTCCTCCCATTCATTCTTGCAAAACCAACAACGATGTTCTTGGCATAATTGGGCATGATCTCAAAAAATTCTCTCTCATCAATAACCTGCAGGGATAAATTTACACCTGAGCTCAAAATGATAAAGAACCAGATACAGCTACATTACAGAATGACAGAGCTGGAGAGCCCCCACCCACCGCGTGGTCTGCAAGGATGCAGGCATGGCAGTGCCTCCTCCCTGCTGGGGAGGAGAAACCAGTGCCCCCTTTTTAAAGGTTCTATTTGAATTTGGCATTATTTTACTCTTTTAACCTTATTTTGAAATCATTTCAAACTTACATAAAAATTTCCAGAACAGTAAAAAAAAGTATATCTCCATTTAACATTTTACCACATACATTTTACCATTCCTTCTCTATCCCCACCTACATCTCCTATTTATTTATATATATGTAAGTAAATTTATATATACACATACATATTTTTCTCTCTCTACTACATATGTAGACATGTACGTCTATGCACACAATTTTTCTCCTGAACTATTTGAGAGTAAATTACAGACAAGATGCCTCTTTACTTCTAAGTACCTCAGTATGTACCTTCTAAGAACAAGGACATTATCATATAACTGTAATGAGATTGTCAAAATCAGGAAACTAATACTACTAGCTACTATAAAACCTTGTTCAAATATTGCCAGTTATTCCAATAACACTCTTTATAGCAACAAAAATCTGGTTCTAGAATCTAACCCAAGAGCAGCAGTTGCTTCTAGTAGTCATGTCACTTAGCCTGCTATAATTCCCCCCTCAGTCCTTTTCTTCATGATCAAGACATCTTTGAAGACCACAGACTGGTCATTTGGTTATTTGCCTTCCATTTGGGTTTAATGTTTCTTCATATTTAATGTCAGGGTAAACATTTTTGGCAGAGTATCACAGAAGTGACCCTCTCAGTAAATCACATCAAAAGGCACATAATGGGGGCACCTGGGTGGCTCAGTTTAGTGTCTGACTCTTGATCTCATCTCAGGTCTTGAACTCAGGATCATGGGTTCAAGCCCGGTGTTGGGCTCCATGCCGAGCATGAAGCCTACTTAAAAAAAAAGGGAGGGGGCGCACATAATGTCAATTTGGCCATTAATGGTGGTGATATATGCAGGTTTCTCCCCTGTAAAATAAGTATACTGTGGGGGAAATACTTAGAAATTATGTAAAAATCCTATTTTTCATCAAACTTTCACCCACTAGCTTTAGCATTCATGATTCTTACCTGACCCAATTATTGCCATGATAGCTGCCGAACAGGGATTTCCCTCACCCCATTTATTAGCTAGCATTCTACTATGAGAGAGCTCTCTTGTCTTTCCCATTTATTTACATCATCCACAAGTATGAATTTAGGAATTCTTGTTTTATTATGTGGATTGTAATCTTTGCCATCATTATTTTATGTTTAAATTGCCCCATATTTGCCAGTGAGAGCTCATTCAAGGGGGGTCCTGTGCCATTTGATGTTTTTCCATCGCTCTTTGAGCACTATGTTACATTCTGGAATTACCTTACTTTCAGGTTCATCTTGTACTTTTTCTTGGCCCAAGCCCAGAATCAGCCATTCCTCCAAAGGGCTCAGATTCCTTGGGGGAGGTGGGGGGTAGGCGCATGTAAGCTTGCTTCTAAAAAGCTGTCCTAGAGGACAGAGCTAGGAAATCCACAGACACACACACACCCATTTCTAAAAGTAGTATGAAAACACTGAGTTCATATTAAGAACTCTAATTCTAATCCAATTCAACCACGGGATTCATTCTAACTTTCCCCTTACCATATTCAGAACTCCTTTCTTCTACAGTAGATATTGGACTCCCGTTATCCTCAAAGTGAACTTATTTAATCCTTAAATACAGAGTAACTGGTTTCAGAAAACCCCCTATAACTGCAAACAAAACAAAAACTAAAATTCAGTACTGCTTTACAACTATTCGTTGCTGGACTAAAGGTATATAGTCAAAATACTGTCTTCAAAAGTTATTCATTTGAAACACAGGTTCATTTGATTTTATTTCATCTTAAAGGTTTTCCCTCAGTCTTGATTTTCTTTAATATGTAAACATTAACATAGATTAATGTCACTCCCTTCCACCCTAATTCTACTCACCCTGTCATTAATATCATTTTCTGATTTATCTCTCGTGTATATTACAGAAATGAGTAGATACATGTATACCTTTTTAATTCCCCCTTCTGTCTAAGAAGGAAAGTAACCTACTACAAATACTCTTTAGCACTTCGGATTTCTTCACTTAACAATATATCCTGAGAATCGCTTCCTATCAGTTCATAGAGATCACGCTCGCTCTTTTTCCTGCCTAGGACTCTACCATGTGGAGGGACCAAAGTTTACTCAACTAATCTTCCATGTGTTGTTTACATTAAATTCAGACTGCCTACATTATTTTGCAATTGCAAATAACACAAATAACAAGATTACTACAAGTAGTAATCTTGTACGTCTATAATTTTGGAATATGAGAAGTATATCTTCAGTGTAAATACCTGAAAGGTGCACTGCTGGGTTCACATGTAAATAATACCCACTTAGTCTTAGAAATTACCATATGCCCTTCCCAGCAATTTATGAAAGAGTCTGCTTTGCCAGACTTACCAATGGAAAATGTTTTCAAGTTGTTAATTTTTTGCCAATCTGCCAGATGAGAAATGATAACTCAGTGTAATTTTAATTTGCATTTCTAACATAATGAGTCAAGTGGAAAATCTTTCCATATGTTTAAGGTCCATTTTATATATATTTTTGTGAGCTATCCATGGTTTCTGCCTGTTTTTCTATAAATTTTGGTCTTCCACAATTTTTAAGTTTTTTTTTTTAAACATATTAAGGATATTAGTCTTTTTTTTCTTTTTTTTTTTTTTTCAGATTTATTTGAGAGGCAAGATGGTGGAGGCATAGGAGACCTAAATTTCATCTGGTCCCAGGAATTCAGCTAGATAGGTATCAAACTCAACAGGAGACCGAAGAAAAGAATAGTAGCAACTCTCTGAACAGAAAAGTGATCACCTTGTAGAAGCAGGGACCCAACAAGTGGCAGATCTTCCTCCCCCAGGAGTGGCGCCACAGGAGCGCACCGCAGGGATCTGCTGGGTTTTAAGACTCCACACGGGGTCGTGTGCCAGAGATAGAAATGGTGGGTCACAGGCCCGGTAAGCATGGAGTCACAGAAAGGGGGTGCCTGAGTGCAGAGCTCCAAGATATCGGAGGGGGTCAGCCGGCTGCAAAGACGGAGCCCGAGCCAAAGAGTGGGCTCTCAGATCGGGGTTGCCATAACCCATGATGCATGGCACAGTCAGGCCACTGCTCCTCCAGCAGGAACCCAACAAGCGGCAGATCCGGGGAGACTCCCCTTCCTCCCCCGGGAGGAGCGGCACAGAAGCGCAGGGATCTGCTGGGTTTGGAGACTCCAAACGAGGTCGGGTGCCAGAAATAGAAATGCTCGGTCACAGGCCAGGTGAGCACAGAGTGTGGCCGGAGACCAGGGAGACAGGAGTGATTGACCGCTTTTCTCTGGGGGCTCACTGAGGAGTGGGGCCTCGAGTTCTTGGCTCCTCCGGGGCGGAGACTGTGAGGCTGCTACTTTCACTCTCGTCCTCCAAAGCTAAATGGAAAGCTTGCAGGGAACAAAAGCACTGGAAAGCAAACCTGAGCAGATTACTTAGCCCGGCCCCGGCAAGGGCGGGGCAATTCCGCCTCCGACAAAGACATTTGAGAACCACAGCAACAGGCCCCCCCGCCCCAGAAGATCAGCAAAAACAGCCAGCCAAGACCAAGTTTACCGATCAATGAGAATGGCACATCACCAGTGCTAGGCGAATACAACACATAGAATTCATGGCCTTTTTCCCCATGATTCTGCAATCTTTCAAATCTAATTTTTTAAATTTTTTTTTTAATTTTTCTTTTTCTCTTTTTCAACCAACATCTTATCAATCTGTTTTATTTTAATCTTTTTTATTTTTCATTTTTAGAGTCATATTCTATCCCTTCATTGTAGTTACCCTTATTTTTGGTATATATTTATAACTTGTTCTCTAATCTTTAAAATTTTGGGATACAGTTTCTTCTAACAGATCAAAATATACCCTAAATCTCTAGTGTATGGCTTTGTTCTAGTCTCCTGCCTGATAAAATTCTCTCCTTTTTTTCTTTTTAATTTCTCTTCATTTTCAACCACCATCAATTCCTTTTATAAAATCTTTTATAATATTCATGCTTACAGTCATATTCTATCCCTTCATCACATTTACCCTTATTTTTGTACATATAAGTTTTTCATTCTTTAAAATTTTAGGGAGGCAGTTTCTTCTAACAGACCAAAATACACCCAGAATCTAGTGTGTGGCACTGATCTATTCACCAGCCTGATCATACTTGATCATATTCTTTTTTTGTTTTCCCTTTCTTTTCCTCCCAATTTTGGATCTCTTCTGATTTGTTTAGTGTATATTTTTCTGGGTTCATTGTTACCTGGTTAGCACTTTGTTCTCTTATTCATCTATTCTACGCTGGACAAAATGACAAGAGGGAAAAACTCACCGCAAAAAAAAAAAGAAGAGGCAGGACTGACTGCCAGGGACCTAATCAATACATTAGTAAGATGTCGGAAATAGAGTTCAGAATGACGATTATAAAGATACTAACTGGGCTTGAAAAAAGCATGGAAGATACCAGAAAATCACTTTCTGGAGAAATAAAAGAACTAAAATCTAACCAAGTCAAAATGAAAAACGCTATTAATGAGGTGCAATCAAAAATGGAGGCTCTAACTGCTAGGATAAATGAAGTAGAAGAGAAAATTACTGATATAGAAGACCAAACGATGGAGATCAAAAAAGGTGAGAAAAAGAGAGATAATCAACTACTGGATCACGAGGGCAGAATTCGAAAAATAAGTGATACCGTAAGATGAAACATTAGAATAATTGGGATCCCAGAAGAAGAAAGAAAGAGGGGGGCAGGAGGTATATTGGAGCAAATTATAGCAGAGAACTTCCCTAATTTGGGGAAGGAAACAGGCATCAAAATCCAGG